GGTTCATGTTGTTTTCTCATCAACCAGCTGAAGAACCTGAAACACAAGATGTACAAGAAAATCTGTACTTTTCAAAATGTTCCAGCAGGGTGTGTGTGTGCATGTTTGTGTGTGTGTGTTTGATTTCAATATAATCATGTAGATGTTAGAGAACAGTTTGCACCAAAATATAACTTAAGAAAATTAATTAACATAAAAAGTGTAGATAACTAGATGCCAATCAAAGGTACATTCAAATAAATGAACATGTGCACAATGAACAAGTTACATTGAAACAAATGAATATATGCCTAAATATTCATGCAAGCATTTTAACAGAAGTGTGGGTGAATAGGACTTCTGACCAGTAAGAGAATATCTATGGAGGTTCTTAGTCATCCAAGTCCAGTTATCTTTTGAAAAATCAGCTTTGAGATGACAGTCAGAGATGACAGTAAGTGAAATGAAACTCCTACCATTGTCTGTCCCACTTAGAAGATATGAGTTTTGAAAGTTCTATACATTTCATACACAAATGTAATTAATTTTAGATGTGAGGTTTAGGCTTAAGATATGTGTTTTGTCCTTATTTTAATATGCTTGTTGGATATAAATACTGTAGTCCTTGACTTAGAATCATTCATTTAGCAACAGTTCAAAGTTACAATGATCCCGAAAAAGGTGATTTACAACTGATACAACCCGCCATGGTGATAACGCAATAAAATTCAGGTGCTTTGCAATCCACATGTGTTTACAATATTCCTGGGGTCATGTGATTGCTCTTTGCAATCTTCTCATCCAACTTCTAACCAACAAAGTCAATGAGGGAAGCCAGATTCATTTAACAACCATGCAACTCACTTAACAAATGCAATGTTACACTAAGCTACCATGACAAAAAGATGGCAAAATCAGACACAATTCCCTTACTAACCATCTTGCTTTGTAATGGAAGCAATTGTGGTTGTATGTCAAGGACTATCTGAAATCTGCAAGATCATTTTAGCTAGCATTTTGCAGACATGCTGGGCTGAACTGAGCAGGAAACACATATACGGAACCCTCATTTCTCACCACTCTCACTCAATGTGAGGAAAAGAGGCCTTAAGCCTTACAGGGATGTTGCTCTTTCATGAGAATTGTATGTGGGCCAGGAAAAAAAAATCCCCCTAAATATATTCAAGAATGTTTTGAGGCAACAAAATGAAAAATAATTAAAGCAAGAAAGAGAGAAAGAATCCAAGAAACAAGAAACTGAATATCCCCAGTTTCTTATTCCATGACAAGATGCAGGTGATAGCATCAGCTGGCATGGTTATTATGAATCTTCCTGGCACACCCAAGTGATGCAAAGATGCCCCTGGGTTCCTTTATGCATAAACCTAGATCTGCCAGTTATTCCAGCATATTCTTCTTTGCTCATTTTTTTTTCTTAGAGAAAATTAATCAGTTACTGTACCACAAAGGGCTTAGTAACAATTTCCATTTTTGAGCTGCTCATTCAGGAAACAATCTACTTAGTCTGCTACATTGTCTCTATTTCTTGCTCTATCTAATTGCCATTTGAATTAGACAGAGAATACTTCACAAACATCAGTCCTCTTTCTTCAGCACAATAGGGACAACAGGCCAAAAACAGGTTTTGTGGCACAAAGCCTCATAAAAGCAGGTTTCCTTCTAGCATTTGATCAATCACCTCTTCACATAATGAGATTTTTTATTCACAGTAGCCAAAATAATCATAAGGGAAATTTTATAAATGATTCACCCGTGTGGTGTTCCACCATAATATTTCTGAAGCTATTGTGGCAGTAGCGTGGAAGATGTTTTTTCCATACTTTGATTATGCAGCATTGCGATGTTGTAACATTTTATCCATTGTTTGAGAATTTTTTCATGGAATTGCTCTTTAGACAGGATGAATGATGGCTATCTAAGAAGAGAAAATGGATTGGCAACATTATGAGACAAAACAGAAAATTTAATGCACGCATTTCTTTACTGAGAATGCCAACATATATTATGTATCCATATCATTGCTCTAGGTGTATCCATCACTGGCTAGGATGCAAAATATATCAGCACCATTCATTATTTAGTGGATAAAGCATCAGTGGTAGTTGTTTTGTGGGTGCCTAAGCTGAATTTAGATAATACTAGATAACCCAGGCCCTTTTGGGTCATTGTTTTGGGTATTTCCTTTCCTAAAAAGAAAAACCAAGACAGGCAAAAAAAAGAAAAGAAAAAAACCAACCAGTAGCAGCAGGAATGTCTTCTGACTTCCTGCAGAAATGATTTCTGACTTCCTCCAGTTTTCTCACTGTGTTTTCTTGTGGCAATATGGCAGGGAACCTTGTAAATTTTTGTTCTTCCCTCTCTTTGACCTTCCTTTATCTTCCTAGCAGGCAGGTAAGTGGCTGCTGCTGGATGGGGAGGAAAGTGAGGAATTCAAGACTGGTTGGGAAGCTGCCACACACCATTGAAAAGAAAGATCTGAAGCAGCCACGACTTCCCTTAGGAGTCACGAATCCCAAATTTTGAACATATTCTGTACCAAAGAGTTCAAAAAGAGTTGCCCAATGCCATTCCATTTTATTCAATTAAACATCAGTATAATGAGGGTTTTAGTAGTATGTCTATTAAAATTATACAACTGGCAAGACTATAAGAGATCATCTAATTAGCTGGGGTAATTCTGGAAGTTGAGATCCACACATCTTAAAGTTGCCAGTTTCAAGAAACACCGATTTAATCCAATTACCTTCTGAGACAAGAATCCGCTATCTTGCTGAAGGAAGGAGTATCACCTTTTCAGGGAGATTTTCCATCATTGAACAAATATGACATTTTTCCTGATCTCCAACTATGGTCTACTTCCCATTATTTAAATCTAGTGTTGCTTTTTGCTGTCTTATGGAATAACCATGAAAAATTCTAATCTTGCCCCTTACTCTTGCCAGTTTCTGTGCCTTCATTGACAAAGCTATTAAATGATCAACATTCAGTATGAAGTACATATTCTCAGTCTGTTTCAGGCCCATTCATTGTTTCTTGCAGTCTTTATCTGGTTATTGCTACATGCTTGTTCCTTGTCCATTGGTTAGAGGGCCTGTAATTTCCCATTTGTTTTCTGACCTCACGGGTGATATAATGAATGCATGGAACACTATTAGAGAGAGAGAGAGAGTTGAGAAGTCTGATGCATAATAATTTTGATGTAAATGAAATTAATTCTGGGTTTATTAAGCATATAGAAGAACCCAAAATAGAGGTAATTATAGCTAATTTTGCAATATATTTTGCCCAATCCTCCAAAGCAGAAAAATGCCCCAGCTAAGAAGAAATGGATGAAAAAAAAGTCAGAGAAATGTATGTACAAAATACATGTAACATATGTGGAGAAAGTGCATCAAAATATTTAGCGAATTTTGCAGGGAAAACTTTCTGTGGCATTTGTAAATTCTGATGCTAACAAGAACTTAGAATCAGCAAAAAAAGTAATTCATCAAAAAGGAAGATCACACATTCCTTCCTACCAAGATGTTTATACTTGTGGACTTATCAATATATTTGCATTAATCATCAGGACAATAAATAAATAGAGGCATTTTCAAATAGAGTGTGCGATTGTTTACCTATTGCTACTGCAACACACTCAGGATCAATCTCTGTAGTTGAGGATGGAAGATGTGAAATCATCTTCCTTTCCCTTCAAATCTTAGAATACCTTTTTGTATTTCCAGCAAACACAAATGAAGACATTACATTGGGGGGAAAAAAGTAATTCATTTGTTGGCTGTAGTTCCAATCCTCTCTGTGTGTCTGGCACTGGTGAGGAATCTTCCAAGAATCTGAGGCCTAAGTGAGTTACAATTTATTTACAGAATAATTAACTAAATCCCCCAAGTATTCTTGCATTTTTCAATTTCCTGGGCTTACCATTAATCTTGAATACGCAGCAGGGCAGCAAAGGGCACTGGGAAGTCCATCTTGACACATACATCTTTTTGTATGAGCTTTTTCTAAGGAGGCCTGGCAAGCACAATAGTAAAGGTAGTTCTTGACTTTTGAGCACCATTATGACTGCCAGGATTTATGTTATTGAACAAGGAAGTTGTTAAATGAGTTGCACCCAATTTTGCAACTTTTTTTTTTGCAAAGTGGTTAAATGAATCATTGCATTTACAGGTAATCCCCGGGTTAGTGAATGTTCAAAGTTACGCGATCAGTATCCTCTAGCATTTTTGAAAAAAGCCCAAAACTACAAATCTTGCTGCACCATGGCAGTTGTTCGCCCTTACAAGCAACCACAAAGGCTCTGTAACATTTATCCTGGATTTTGCCAGCCAAAATGGAGTTTCCAAGAGATAGATCTGCCCTCTGACAATCCGTTGGGGCCTGTGCAATTCTCAACTCAGAAGCCCCATTTGGGCATCCAGAGCAGAGGTGTATTCAGCAGGTTCTGACCATTTTTGGAGAATTGATAGCAGAAATTTTGAGTAGTTTGGAGAACTAGAAAATACCACCTCTGACTGGAGATTTTGCAGTATCTTCCCCCGCTATGCCTACTGTTGTGGAGCGGCGGAGATACGAGGCAGACACAGAGCGTCGGTTAGAAAGCTTTATTCTATGAATAAAGGGTTGCCGTGGCTGCCGAGGCTAACAAGACGGATCAGCTGACAGCAACAGCTGATGCTGTTTGACAGCTCCTTTTTTAGCCTGCTGTCAAACGGCATCAGCCAATGGGAGTGATCGGTGCTCCCGCCAGAACTGCAGACCTGAGTGGGGACTGCCGTCAGTTCTGTGAATACCACACTCCTTTCCCCTGGCCAGGAGCATGCGTAGTCTTGTAAATAGGCCAGCCGCCCGCGCTGGCGGCTGGACCATCTTAGTCCTGGAGAATCTCCAGCTGGGGTAGAGTCCTTTGCCCCTGGGATCACCCTGGAAGCTGCAGGAGTGCGAGTCCGATCAGCAGGAGCCTTAGTCTGAGTGCCCAGTGGTGGTTCAGGTAGGTTTCTTCACTCGGCTTGCTTCGGGTGCATCATTCGGCTGGATGGGTAGACTGGGTCGCTCGGTCGGGAGTCCATAGCGTTCCCTGGGTAGACCGGGTCGTCTGGTAGGGAACCCTCGGTATCAGCTGGGTAGACCGGATCCTTGGCATCGGCTGGGTAGACCAGAACCTCGGCATTTGCTGGGTAGACCGGGCCCTTGGTGTTTGCTGGATAGACCGGTTCGCCTGGCTGGGGACCATTGTCATTCGCTGGGTAGACTGGGTTGCTTGGCTGGGTGCGGGAGTCATCAGTAGTCCTTCTCCAACACCTCCTTAGCTGGTCTACGTGTCTGTGACACATACGACTGTTGTCTAGGAGGACCCTGTAGGATCTTGACCCTGTAACTGATATAACCTGTCCTGGTACCCATAACGTGTCCCCTGCATAATTCCTGGCGTAGACCAGGTCATGTAGGGCAAATTCCCTGGCGAGGCTATCAGAACCCAAGGGGGTGCCAGGGATGTAATGGGGGTGCAATCTATCCAAGGTGGTCCTAAGATGCCTGCCCATTAGCAATTCTGCAGGTGACTTGTTTGTTGTGGTGCAGGGGGTTGTATGCTGGGTCAGAAGGTATCTGGACAGTTTGGAATACCAGTCTATCTGGCCAAACCTCGCTAATGCTTCTTTTACTGACCTAACTGCCCTCTCAGCCATCCAGTTGCTTGCAGGGTGAAAAGGGGCTGTGAGGATGTGCCTGATACCCAGGTTGGCTGCAAATACCTCGAACTCACAAGAGGTGAACTGGGGGCCATTGTCGGACACCAGTATGTCAGGGAGGCCATGGGTGACAAATACTCGGGTCAGGGCTCTAGTGATGGCCAGTGTGGTTGTGGAAGGAAGTAGAGCCAGGTCAATCCATTTAGAAAAAGAGTCCACTAAGACTAGGAAAGTCCGCCCATGCACTGGGCCAGCCAGGTCGATATGTAGTTGAGACCAAGGGGCCCCAGCATCCTCCCACCTGGTAGGAGTGGCTGCAGGTGGGGCTGGTCTGGTAGCTTGGCATGGCTGGCATGAACTTACCCATCTGGAGATCTGGGCATCCATGCCTGGCCACCACACATAGCTGTGGGCCAGAGCCTTCATCCTCATGATGCCCGGGTGGCCTTCGTGTAGGACCTTTAAGATTGGCTCCTGTAGTGTGGCAGGGATGACCACCCTTGTCCCCCTCAACAAACAACCCTGTAGGGATGACAACTCTTGCCTGCGAATCTCGAATGGCAAAAATTCAGGAGTGTATTGAATTGTAGGCCACCCCCTTCCCACCCAGTCCAGGACTTGGGCAATTACCTTGTCCCTTTTGGAGTGAGTGGCAATGTCTTCAGCTGTAATAGGCAAGTTGAGTTCGTTGACCTCAAAAATGGCATGTATGGGTGCGGGGTTCGATTGGTACTGGTAGGGGGCAGCGACTAAGGGCATCTACATGGCACATATTCTTCCCCGGGCAATGCACTAGTTTGTATGAATAGGTGGCCAGGAACAGAGTCCACCTGGTCATCCTTGGTGATAGGACCTGTGGGGTTTGCTTGTCCCCGACAAAAGGCCTAGAAGTGGTTTATGGTCTGTTATAAGTTCAAAGTAGTGACCATAAAGGAATTCGTGAAACTTTTTAACAGCAGCCACTGCAGCCAAAGCCTCTTTATCAATTTGGCTGTAGTTTCTTTTTGCAGCAGAGAAGGTTCTTGAGAAGAAGGCAATTGATGCCTCAGAGCCATTTAGGAGCCTGTGGCTCAGAATTGCCCCTACACCAAAGGGGGAAGCGTCTGCTACCAGGACTAGGGGCAGCTGCTGATTGAATTGGATTAAAACTGCATCAGATGTGAGCAAGGACTTGATGGATTTGAAAGCATGGGCTTCCCTAGGTACCCAGTGCCAGGGGGATTGTTTATCTAAAAGTCTGTGCAGTGGTTCTGCTATAGATGCTTTATGTGGGAGGAATGTAGCATAAAAATTTAGAAGCCCTAAGAAGGCTTGGAGTTCAGTCTTGTTGGAAGGTGTGGGTGCCTCGTGGATAGCCCTGACTTTGGACTCAATTGGATGAATACCAGACGCATCAATTCTGTAACCTAGAAAGTCCACTTGCTTAGTGGCGATGGTGCACTTGTCCCTCTTTAGTTTGAGGCCATGCTGCCTAAACCGCTCAAGGACTGTTCTGACCCTTTGTATTAGTTGTGTCTTATTCATAGCTGAAACCAAAATGTTGTCAAAGTAGGGGACTACGCCTGGGAGTCCTTGGAGAAGCCTCTCCATGAGGGACTGCAAAATCCCAGGGGCTACACTAATACCAAATTGGAGATGTTTGCACTTAAATGCACCCCTATGGGTGACTATGGTTTATAATTCTGCAGTCTGGTTGTCAACAGGAAATTGTTGGTAGGCCTAGGACATATCTAATTTTGCAAAGATCGTACCAGGCTCAAAGATGTGTAACAGGTGTTGGATGACAGGGACAGGGTATGCGCTGACTTGCAGGAAACGATTGAGGGAAGTCTTGTAATCAGCGCAGATTCTCATGGTGCCATCTTTTTAAAGTGGGGTGACTATGGGGGGTCTCCCATCTTGCAAAATCTACCAGTTCTAACACCCCTTGCTTTAGCAATTTATCTAGCTCTATGTCTAACTTGGGGCAAATACCAAAAGGTACTCTGCGTGGTTTAAGGCAAATGGGAGTTGTCTGTGGGTCTACATTGAATGAAATAGGGGTACCAGAATAACACCCTAAATCTTTGCTAAATACATCAGAGTAGTCTCTGAATAGGGTGTCTACTTCAGAGGTTGAAACAGCATGGATACCAGTTATGCTGAGGCCAAGAGCAGGGAACCAATCTAGTCCCAGTAATCTAGGGAGGGCACCATCTACTACCACCAAAGGCAAATGGCCCTTGAAGTTTTGTAATTGGACTAAAAACTTGCCTTTCCCGAGGACAGAGATGTTCTTGCCTTAGAAGAAGTTGTAAAGAAAATTTTGGAATGTGCTGAGATGAGTAGATTGACTTTTGAAATTAGAGAGCAAGAAGATAAACAATTTTATTTAGTTTGGGATCTTTTCTATCAATGGTTGAATGATGAAATATTAAAATATAAAAGTTAGATAATAAGGAATAATAATGACTTTATTTTCCCTTTCCTTTTATTGGTTTTTGATACTATATCTATATAATAGTTTTCTTTGTTTTTTTTCTTTTTCATATTTGGGATAGAATTGGTATGATTATAAGATTTGTTTTAGAATAAAATATTTAAAATATAGTTATCTCATAAAGGCATGACCGAATAAAAGTTTAGTCAAATTTTTTTTTTCTTTAATAGCGATAATAGGATTTATAAATTTGTATTGATAAGAGTATTATATAAAGTAACTGTAATTGTGACTATGAGGTGAATGCACAAAACCGATGGACCAACCGACTTACTGTGTGTACAAAAATATGGGGGAGCTGATACTTTTATGTTTTGTTGTTGTGTTTTTTATGTTAAAAAAATAATAAAAATTTATTAAAAAAAAAAAAAGAGATGTTCTTGCCTTGGTAATCACGCAGAGTCAGGTGGCAGTTCAGGAGCTTCTTCTTGGACATTCTGGCATGCATCTTCTTCAGGGTTTCCCAGGGGATGATTGAGAGGGCAGATCCCATGTCCACCTCCATCCTGCAAGGCTTACCTTCTAAAAAAACAAAGATACTTATTTTGTTAGAGCCTTTTGAAGGCCCTATAATGCTCCATTTGGCCCTCTGCAGGCCTCCACCAACCTGTTAAAGGCCTGAAATGGAGCTTCTGTGAGATCCGTCCATCAGAGGCTCCATTTCAGCCTGCAACAGGCTGGGGAAACCCTGTGGAGGCATGAATAGAATTGCAGAGGGGTGGGTGCACAAGGCTGGAGAAGAGACTGATTGCTAGATCTTCACAAGATAAGTGACCCCAGCATAACAGGTTGTGGGGGACAATTTGGGGAGCATCAGATATTAGAGGCCTTGGGTGGTCTTAGGTAGGTGACCTGTTCCATTGGTACACCCCCCCTCCGTGACCTTCCCCACCCTGAAATGCTTCATGTGCACTTAATGACCCTTGCATTTGATTAGCAAATGTGTGAGCAAAAGGTGGGAGTGATCTCGTTCAAGGTTCACGAGTCCTCGGGTTACAAATTGAATGGGTACACTCCATTGCATTCATAACTCGAGGACTAATCCTGCTTCCCCCATTGATGGTGCTTGTCAGAAGCTGACTGGGAAGATTGCAAATGGCAGTTACATGACCTGGGATGCTACAACCATTATAAAGTCATGCGTCTAAATTATAAAGTCAAGTGTCTAAATTTTGATCACATAATCATGGGGAATAAATACTATGATGATCATATGTGTAAGAAGTCATAAGCAGAGGTGATATTCAGCAGGTCCTGAACAGTTCTGGAGAACCGGTAGTGGAAAATTCGAGTAGTTCAGAGAACCGGCAAATACCACCTCTGACTGGCCCCTCTCTCATCTATTATCTGCCTCCCAAGTCCCAGCTGATCGGCTGGGTTTTCTTTTGTTGCCCTGCACAGGAGAATGGAGCTGGAAAGCAGGTTAATGGGGTGGGGAAGGAATGGAGATTTTGCAGTATCCTTCCTCTGCCACACACACTCATCAAGCCACACCACGCCCACTAAGCCATGCCCATAGAACCGGTAGTAAAAAAATTTGAATCCCACCCCTGGTCATAAGTCACTTTTTTTCAGTGTCATTGTAACTTCAAATGGGCACTAAATGAACTAAATCGAAGACAACCTGCACACCACAATATGAAACTCATTTTACTCTAATACTAAAAGAGATCTCTCTTCGTCATATATTAACAGAATAAGCCTAGTCTGGAGCAGCTTATTAAAAAAGATGAAAGATAGTAATGCAAAGCCTATATTCTCTCTCTTTTTCTCTCTACTGGTTTAGCTCACTAAGGTGACCTTCACCATCAGAATCATGATTTAAAAAAAACCCTGTTCCAATTATTTTGTATGTTCATTCTACATTTTCAAAGAGTTTCATCTCTTTACATATTGCAGTATCACCAGGGAAGGTTGCATCAACCAAATTAGCTTTTTTTCTACAGAGTTTCTATGATAATGTGAATATTTACATCCATATGAAGCTGCAAGAAAATATAAGAGGAACAAAATTGGACAGGCTAGCTTACCCATCCAATCTGAGTGAACAAAAGAGTTCCAGTGAAGTTTCTAGTCTGTTTCAATGTCTCATGAAACTGGGAATTTTCTGTGGGAATACATTGCTCATAGAACTGGGAATTTTCCACAGGAATACCCCTTCTTTAGAACAACTGGACCCAGAAAGCAAGATGGGAAACCCTGCCATGGTTTTCTGAAGTCTTGTAGAGATTTAAAAAAAAAGGTTTTTAAAGATTGGTGGTATCTGAAGTTAGAGGAATAGCAGATAAATTCCTGTTATTTTAACATTTTAAAGTTTTTTTAAAAAAATTATGCTGCATTGAGGTTGTTGCTGTTTATCATGTAGATGGAAGCATTCTATCAATTTTGTAAATAAAGTATTTTTTTCTCTAGTCCATCACTTTAGAGATGAAGTATTTATTGTACAGTTTCAGAATGCCACAAATTCACAGGTCTGAAGCTAATAGATGCATTTTGGGGTTATGGTTCAACTAATCCACCCAACAAACGCAGCTTCTACAGGGATTATCATAGAGCTGAGGAGCTCCTATCTCTAAGAGATAGGACTCACAACAAACAAACAAACAAACACAAACACACATACACAAGCAGAAACTTCCTAAATATAAGAAACCTTATATAAGTTGAGGATTGCCTGAAGTGGTAACTAAAGTTACCACTTCAGGTAATCCTCAACTTACAACCACAATTGGAGCCTGAAATTTCTGTTGCTAACAGACAATTATAAAGTGAATTTTGCCTCATTTTATGACCTTTCTTACCACAGTTGTTAAGTGAATCATTGTAGTTGTTAAGTTAGTAACAAGCTTGCAAAGTCAGTCGGGTTTCTCCATTGACTTTGTTTGTTAGAAGGTCAGCAAAAAGTGATCCCATGATCCCATGGTACTGCAACAGATCAACAGATCAACAGAGTTTGAAGGGACCTTGTAGGTCAACTAGTCCAAATCCCTGCTTGCAACAATCCAACCATCACAAATACAAGCTAGTTGCCTGGCAACCAAATTCTGATCATGATATCATGGAGATGCTGCAACAAGCATGAAAAATGGTCATAAGTCACTTTTTTCAGTACTATTATAACTTCAAACAGTCACCAAATGAATGATTTTAAGTTGAGAATTACCTGTACAGTAGATGGTTGCAAGAAGCTTTATATCAAAGATGTACTTCAATGTGTCTTTTATTATGGAATGCTCATGTTATTTTTAAGCAACTTGTAAATTTGAAACAATTCCAACCA